GAAGACCAGGGGGTGGCCCTTGGCACTTGTCTGTAAGACCCAGGGAGTGGCCCCCAGGCTTGACAAGAAAGACCACGTGCGGCCCGTGGCAATACAGCAAGACTATGTTTGGCACATAGCACCTTACTTGACTATGGATATGTTTGTTATGTATGACTCATGGTTACGTGTGGCATGTATGGATCAGTTTATATGTATGGTTTGTGGTATCTGGGGGAACTCACTAAGCTTCGTGCTTACGGTTTTCAGTTATTTGTTTCAGGTATTAAGGTTTTTCCAAGGAAGGAGCTCGGGGCGATCGCAGCGCATCACACCATGTTTTCCGCACTAGATGATCTTTGGGATTTAAAACTCTGATAATTTTTTTATTAATAATGTTATTAAATGATTGAGCAAGATTTATTAAGCGGTCTTTAATTAATCAAAACGAAATTTTTGGTCTTAAATTTTGGGATGTTACATGTTTTCCCATCTCCCCCGTCTTCTTTAACCATGTGACATAATTGTTAATACATAGTGATGTTAAGGTTAACTTTATTTCTGAAATATATTCACAAAAAACATATACATAAAAAAAATTAACTACTCCATTTTTAAACTTTTTAGTTTATTATTGCCGGTCTCAAGACCGGATAAAGGAGGAGGGTTTATAGCATTAAATATAATAAATGCAAGTGGTCCTAAATTTTTGGTTCGCTTAAAGCCTCAAAACTGGTTGAGCCGCCCCTGAGTCTAAGTTATAATGTTTGGAGAGGTAAGTTTTGCTTTTGAGAAAACTAACCGAAGTATAATAAAGTAGGAGATAAGTCATTTGAGGTGCAAAATCCATCAAATGATGGTAAGTCTTGTGTAGAAGTCAATAAATATCTTTATTCACTTGGTGAGTTTGTTATGGAGGAAAATTGTGAATATTTTCAATTTGGGGAAGAACATTTTGTAGACGATTAAAGAATGAAACAGACGAAGTGAATGTCGTTTTGGAAAGTCATTATTCTCTTCTTAACAGCCAGATGATGACAATTATGAGTTGGGATGAAATGTTCGATTTCAATAAAATTGATAATGTAGTGACTTTGATGTTACAACACTTCATGTAAACTCAACTGTAGTTGCAACTGCAATAGAATGATCAACACTGAAAAAGAAAATGATAAAACAATGCGCGATTAGAAACATTAAAATTAAAATAATAGCCTGAAAATGATTTTTTATTATACAATATGGCTACTGAAAATAGCCTCCCATCAGCATGCTTTCGCCGTCATTACATTTTATTGTATGCGATTTTTATTTTTATATTTTACTTTTTCTATAGAAAATTAGTTGCTTAGAGGTAGGAGTGTTCGTTTGGATGGATTAGTTCGATCCGATCCAATTAAGTAAATCAAAATTGATTTCGGTTTTAAAATATGGATCCGAATTGTCCAAACTAAATTCAAATCCAATCTGATCCAATCCACTTATAATTCGGTTAGATCGGTTTTTATAATTCAGTTTTCAAAAGGCATAACATTTTAAAACGATATATAATTATAATATTATCCAATTTTTATAGAAGAAACAAAAAACAACTTATTTAGTTGTAATTATAATTTATAAACAACCACTAAGAACCTATATTATAATTTAATATTTAATAGATAAAACACTTTTAAGAGAAAATGCATATTAATTTTTTTATTAGGTGAAACATTTTGAACTTTTTTTGAAAAAAATAATTTATAAAATTAATAAATAATTATAGATATATTAAAAATAAATAAATAATAAATTGTTATTCGGTTTTTTTGGACTATTCAGTTCTTATTTTATAAACCAAACCAATCCGTAATCCAAAATAATAATTCGGTTTTGGTGAAATCCAATCAAAAAATCCGAATATCCGAACCAAAAAATACCCGATCCAAATTGTCCAATTGGATAATTCAGTTTTATCCAAATAGTGAACCACCCTACTTAGAGGAAAGAAAAATACAAACATAAACAAATTCACGTTTTAGGAAATGAAAACAAATATGGCCTTGCCCAATTGCCGGTACGAATTAGATGGCGAGAAAATACAAAGAAAACAAATTCATGATGTTTAAAAAGCAAAATGTTAAATTTTGCTCGGTGGCAGACCGTAGTGGAGCTTTGGGGATCCCGAGCCACTGCTCAATTTCTGGCACGTAGTATAATTTTTTTTTGTTTTTTCTATTAGGTGCACCGACTTAAAGTACGAGGGACACCCTACTAAAACTTTCTGCGTTCGCCACTGATTTTGCTCGTATGCAATTTTATATTTGTTTCATCATCTTTTCTTGTAACAAAACAAAGTTCAGAAGACTTAAAATGTGTTTTCATTACATTTTCTTAGAGCAAATAGAGTTCATAAATTTATGTGTATGCGATTTATTTTGTTTTCGTTTTCATTCTTTAGAGGGAAAAAAGGAAAAGTCCAGTAAATTTTAAATATTTTACAAGAAAGTGTTTGTATTTGAAGGTGAGAGGAAATACAAAAAGAACACCGATTGAGGATAATAAAATGTGAATTAAAAAAATGGCTTCGCCCGGGTTCGAACCGGAGACCTTCAGTGTGTTAGACTGACGTGATAACCAACTACACCACGAAACCAATTGATTTTTACATATTTAAAATGGTTTATCACCAATTAATAAATATCCAGGTTTAAATATCTGCGTTATGGTGCGAATCATTCAACCCGAATCCTGAAAATTTCCCTCTCGATTCCAAACCCTAATTTATTCATCTCATCTACAGCCACGAATTCACTCTAAACTTGTCTTCTTTTCGCTAATCGACGGTGTATTTGGAGTAATGGCCGGTGCTGCTTTAGATATGTCTCTTGACGATCTCATCAAGAACAATAAGAAATCCGGCGGCGGCGATGGCGGTGGTCGTGGTCGGGGTCGGGGTCGAGGAGCTGGACCTGGACCTGCACGTCGCTTCAATAATCGCGGTGCTAACCGAGCGACTCCTTACGGCGGACCTAAGGTTGATTAGTTTTAGATCGGGTAGATTTGATGCTTGTCATGTTTATTAGGTTGGTATGTAGATGTAGGTGATGATTAAAGTATGTTTGTAAAGCGTTTCCGTGTCTGATTTAGGCACCAGATGCGGCTTGGAGGCATGACATGTTCGGTGTTCCGGATCAGGTCATGGGGAACGTTGGACCTGGCGGCCGTCCATCTGCGATTGAAACTGGGACGAAGCTTTACATATCAAACCTTGATTACGGTGTCTCGAATGATGATATTAAGGTGATTGCTACTTTCTTTTTACTTCTGGTAGCTAACTTTGGCTAGATCTGGATACCGTACTCCAATGTTTGGATTAACCATAAAAAATCAGACTTGAATATTTCAAAAAATCAAACTGATTTGGTTGTTTCTTGTTTATTGATATGATCTAATAAACGCGAAATTGAAATCTTTGTACTTCTAAGTTTGGTACTTGGTAGAAGGCAAAGTTGGTATAAATTACAATACATCATAAAGATTCTTTGAAGATGTATAAATCTATTTCCAGATTCTTTTACTCGTGTGCAAGAGAATGAATTAAATGGTACATAGCCAATCTAAGTTATAGTAGAGATTAATGGTTGCGTGTAGTTAGGCAAAACCTAAAAGTAACAAGAAAAGAGTGAAGTGTAGTTGATGTATCTGAATACTGTTTTGGTCGATTTGTGGATGGAATTGTTTTTTGCGCACACTATACTTTCTATTTTGTTTACTGGAAAATCATAGAAGTTCTTGGGTAAAAATCTTACATGGATGAAACCACTTCAATCTGTGCAGGAGCTTTTTGCAGAAGTTGGTGACCTGAAAAAGTATTCTATACATTATGATAGAAGTGGGAGATCAAAGGTAACTTTAAAGGATTTAGTACCTTTTGTAAAGTATCATGTCTGTGATTCTGTTGTAACTAAATTTTCTTTCAGGGGACGGCTGAGATTGTGTATTCAAGAAGGCAAGATGCGTTAGCAGCTGTCAAAAGGTATAACAATGTCCAGCTTGATGGGAAGCCAATGAAGATAGAGATTGTGGGATTAAACATTGTAGCTCCTGTTGCTGGTCTTCCATTGGCAAACAACTCTTTTGGAAATATGAATGGTTTTCCAAGAAGGTATGGTTTTTTCTTGTAATTTGAATCTTTGGTTGCATTTAGTTGTGAAGCTTGAATATCAAATGACATTAGGTGGTTTGGTGATAGCTTGTAGATTACATAAATGTCAACTAGTAAAATAGTAAAATAGGTTCTTGGTAGGTTTGACTGATAACATGATCAATGTAATTGAGATCTATTCTGCCTTCTAGGGTTAATCACACTGACAATCACCTTATTATTGTTCATTTGCGTGAGTAATCATCTTAGGTAGAACTTCATGGTATAAGTTATAACTAAGATGCATATAGCCTCTTTTGGGTTAAATGCATTGATAATCACCTTTTTTTAGTTCATTTGCATAAGTAATCTTCGTAATAAGAACTTGGATGTCCAATGTTTTTAAGGGTAAATCTTGTTAAACCTATTGAGGCATAGCTTTAGCTAGATTCTTATGTTTTATTTAGTTATAATTTGATATCGGTAGCTAGTTTATTCTTCAAAGATACAAATAAACAATTTTGTTGTATTGTGTTGTAATGTAATATTACTAATTAGCGTTCAACTTCCTCATAACAAGTATTAACTGTCAAAAGTTTAGACAAATTACAAAATGGTGTTTAGGTGTTAAAATCTTCTCCTTTTTAGGTACAGCTTAATGTGTAATCCATTTTAATAGGAAATGAAGTGGATTTGTAGTATGCATGTTGAGAATGTTTACATAATAAGAGAGCATTTACTTGAATACTTGATCTCTTACTAATTTTGTTATGATGCATGTTATGAGCAGTGGACAAGGAAGGGTTGGTGGGTTTGGTGGAAGATCAGGTGGTGGAGGATTTGGAAGGGGCCGTGGTGGACGTGGAAGAGGAGGAGGAGGAGGGCGTGGTGGTGGTGGTGGTGGTGGTGGTGGAGGTGGAGAAAAGATATCTGCAGATGATCTTGATGCTGATTTGGAGAAGTATCATCAGGAATCAATGCAAACTAACTGAGATCATCAATCATCAGCTGTGCACCAAAACCTTGTTTGTATTTTGTTTTTTGTCAACTGAACACATACCCAATTCTCTAGGCTAAAACTGGTGGTAGGGTGGGAGGATTGTAGAAACTTAGTTTCTTTTTATGGAGCTTTATCCTTATTACTATAGATGTTAGACCGTTGTATTGTATTGATTATTATGATACTCAGTTTGTGGTATGTCTGTCTGTACTCCTCTATCATCTTCTTTTTATCTGTTCATCCTTCAAGACATGGAAAAGCATCAAAGTCTACATCAATTGCCAGAAATAACTAGTTCTTGGAAGATGTATGAGGAGTTCAAGGTAGTTTTCTCTGTGCTTCATTTAATAATATGGTTGTAACTTTAGTTAACATGTTGCCAATGTGGACAAACAGGTTGTAGCTGCTCAGTTTTTTACTTGGTGACATGGTTGGGTTGAGACTTTTGTGTATCTATCAACTACAACAATTTAAAGGGATTCACAAGCCAATGTAACTTGAAAAAAGGGTATACAAAATATAGTTTCAAGTACAATCAACCGTAATACAACAAACATAATTCCACAACAGCTACATGTGGGGCTCCCTCAACTTATGTGTAGGGAAAATGAGCCTCTCAATCGAATACAATATGGCGTGTATGCATGCCAACACAAAATTCCAACAAGAGGATGGCCAGTACCATGGATATAACAGCCGGAAAAACAAACTTATAACATGTCGAGGATATTGCCCAACCTTATTAACATTAACAGAACCCCATTTATTAATCAATCATATATTTTTATTATTTGATGATAAAATTATATATAAAAAAAAATTACTCACCGGAAAAAGAAAATCAAGAGCATCCCAGGCTGCGTGACGAACGGCTCGTGTTGGATACATGGGCCCACCAGGAGACGTGAAGCTGTACAAACATGTTTTAAGTCTGGTACTTGTTGTCATTCGAAGTTCCAAACCTTGAAGAACTTTAATGTGGGACAGGTAATGTAACAACACTGGCTCCACTTTTAATTTTTGAAGCTTCACAAATATGGTTAATGTTACTTAAAAATTAAAAATGTCTGAATTGGACCAGATTTTGTTTTATTATTGTATTGTAGCTCTCACCTGATTAGTTAGTTCTATAACAAAAACATCCGCGGGCCCACCGATCAAGAAAGCATTTGGGAACTCCGGGAAGTGGTGAAATAAGGATTCAAGCTTTTCATCTGTAACAAGCGTTTTCTTTGAGATTATAACCAGTATCTAAACTGGTAAAAGGGAGAGATTTAAGATTTACTAGCGGTTTTAAGGTATATACCTACCTAGATTATAAAGGAATATAAATCTTGAAAGAAGAAGAAACAGATCTCTTTGAGCCTGACAGACGAAAGAATAAAAAAAGGGGTTTTAATTTTTCAATGTTTTTAACTTGTTTTATTGTGTAACATTTATTATACATTGTGGAGTCATTTTGATATCGCTACTTAACCTGCAAAGGGATTTTCTTCAACTTATCGGGCACCAATGCAACATCCTCAAGAAGATACTAAGAACCAATTTAAAAATGGAAAAAGTCTCAATTTAGTATGCACAAACAATAAATAAACCAACAAGTAAAAACGTGTCTTACCCTAAAAAGACTTTGGAAATGGGTGGTGTTTGTCTGGATGTCAATCCTACCAATAAACATAATACATGTATCAACAAAACCTACTTTCATTAAATCAAACAAAATGTCTGATATTGCAAACCCCATACCAGAAAACATTCATAGCACCTTGGACAAGAGCTGAGGAGTAGCGAAGGAGGAGATCTGGACTATCAACTTCAACTTCAAACAACTGTAAAATAGATTTTTTTGAGGATTTAAATGAATATTAACATAAATTGAATAAACAGGCTGGCTCTACATACCCATTTATGGAACAATAATGCAAATATATGAGAGGCAAAAGGCTGGCTCCATAGTTGAACGATCAAATCAATGATTGGTTTCCCTCGCTCAAGTTCATTCGCAAAATGGTCAGCAAGAACATCGTAAAAACATAAAGAACCCTTAATCTGTAACGCATCCTCAAGGATTATATCTGTTTCAAATTTCAATCCCGTTCGAGGAAATCAATCAAAGTACCAAAAATGATCAACAGTGTAAATTTCTGAGATCCAAAGTAAATAAGCATATAATTAATGGTGTCGGTTACTGATTACCTCTAGCTCGATCATCAACTTGTAAAGCTACGTCTGCAAATAGCTGTTGTAATAAATCGCGTCTTTGAGTTGGTGAAGCAAGTGCCTGAAGAACAGAACACACAGGAAAAACAAGACCTCAATGCACAGATTCAAAATCACCATATCAATTCAACTTATAACACAGTTGAAGAAAACCAATAACGAAAAGACGTAAACAAAAAGGCAAAGGCAAACCCTCTGAAGCTTTTTGTCGATCTCTTGGGTGAGAGCAGAGAAATAAGCAGAGCTTCTTTGAGTATAGGCTAATGGTCCCATTCTTCTAATAACAGAGCATTTAATTTGGAATCAAACCGAAGAAAGTGTTAAAAGCGTAACCCTAACTCTGATTTTGATGATGTGTTGAAGATGTTCTCCGAGGAACAGTTAGCAAATGGTGGAGTACCGACAAAACCTTGGAAATGATTCAATGGCGTAGCGACGGTGGTGGGATGCGGCGTGGCAGCAAAGAAACACCACACGCGTAGGAAGGGAACACCGGTGCAAATAATCAAAATTGATGATGACACCAGGTGACGTATCTTTCAAGAGATCATGACTTTTGTTAAAACGGATACTCAAAGGAATCCACAATTAGTAAATGATGCGATGCTACGACACTAGAACAATCTGCAAGTTTCATCCATAAATATCCATTCACATTGAAAACACGAAATTTACATTAAACACTTAAAAGCTAAAAGTAGATAATTCCGATCTTAATAACTTTAATCAGCTGATTTTCATATCGAAAGCAATTTAGAATTGAGAAAATTACAAAAATACCTATCAAGTATCATTCACCACAAATACATATTATTTTTATATTTTCTCCTAATCATCCGTTTTAACAACAAGCATCATTTCGAGGTCCCTTACCATCGTACTGATACTTGCATATCAGTTGGTTACATTTGAAAGTCAACTTTTGTTTTATTTGAAACTAGGATTTTACCCGCTGCGTGTTGCGGCGACAGTAATATCAGGGGCGGACGCAAGATTTCTCGGTAAGGGGTGCACGGGAAAGTTAGAGGTTGCACAATAGTAGAAAAAATAAAAATTTTAAAAATTTTCGAAAAATTTTCCACTACGACCGGAAAAGTTAGGGGTTGCCGGTGGCACCGGTGACCCACCCTAAATCCGCCCCAGAGTAATATATTCGAGAAATAGTAGAAAATAAGTTGAACAAAAACTTAAAAAGACATAAGTTGACAAACCACAATAGTGAAGGGTCAAAGTCATGCCAAGCAAAGATAACAAAAACTATATTATATCCAAAACGTACATGAATATAAGTAAGGAAGATTCAAATATTAAAAAACGTATTACATGTGATCCGGCTCATACGTAGGGGCTTGCATTTGAGACTACTCTTTCCCTTGTTTATCCTCTAAAAATAGTAGCATGCATCTCTCTCTCTCTCTCTCTCTCTCTCTCTCTCTCTCTCTCTCTCTCTCTCTCTCTCTCTCTCTCTCTCTCTCTCTCTCTCTCATGAAGACAAGTAGCAAGTGATGGTTATGTAGAAGTGCTTCTCCTTAGTGCTTAATTGTATTAATCACTTAAGGCTTAAGAAGTACTTCAAATACAAGATGGGAACTAGCATTCCAAGTGTTTTATTTTTTATGTTGGATACTTACAGAGAAGTTGAAGCTTCTTGTTCTTTTATTATCTTCATCAACTCCTCAATTCCAATTGGATCAAAGGCTTCAAAAGTTATCTTTTTAACATCCAATGGTTGTTATTATCTTTCTAGTTCATGTATTTGGATCCTCTTTATGTTTTTGTTAATATGATCTAAAAATAAACTAGTTACTTGAAAGTCATTTGTTTGCCGTTAAAATTGTTTTCATAAACATTTTTTGCTTATCAAAACCCATCAGGAGCTGGTTTTTGTGTGTAGGGGTGTTTGTCTTTCGGCAGGGTGGTGATGTGTTTTGTAACGTCCTTGTTTCTCGTTAGGCATTAATAAGATATGTAATTGACATTGGTCGACAATTGTAATCTTTTTATGATTAAATGAAACAAAGTTGTTTGAATATTTTTGATTTATGTGTAAATATTATGTGTATATAATATTAGATGAAAACTTAATAATTAAGGCTAAAATAAACATTAAAATATAAAATATTAATTAGGATAAATAGCATTGATGGAAGTTGAAGTAGTCGTGATGATGATCTCGGGAATATAAGGAATGCTTGAATCTGACTTCATATGAAGACGTTATGTGTTCAATCATATACGGAAAAATCTGACTTCGTACGAGGAAGTTACGGGTTTTTGAAGTTTCAGTGCAACTGTGTTAGCACGGAAACCGAAATTCAAAACGGTCGATTGTTAACTAAAACAATCTAAACGAGAATCGAAGATCACATAAATATGATTTTGTCGATATAAAGACAGTCAAAAACGAATATTGTATGAAAAAAGTATGATTTTTATACGGACTTTTACATTCTAAGTCTGTTAAAAATATAACTTCAAAAATAAAGTGAAAATTAGCTGATAGAGTCTAAATGAAAGTTGTAGTACTCGTCGATAGCTATGCGTGGATATAAAGAACGTCAAACAAAGGAGCTCGTATGAATAAGTTATGATTTTTTGAAAATTTAGAAATTTGCACGCGCGTGCGAGAGGCGCGGTGTGCGCTTCTAGAAGGGGTCCAGGTCGAACCAGTTTGAGCATGACATGTGTAGCGAGGAGAGAGCCCGAACAGGCCGGGGCGTGGCGCGCTTCTGTAAAATTTCGTCTATAAATTTCACTTCCCACACATTCCAAAACATTCTCTCTCAAATTTCCACTCTTTTGGCCCAAAAAATCTTGGTATATAGGATATTTTGATGAAGTTCTGAGGTCTCTGAGAGACCAACAATTAGAAGCTATCAGGTCGGAGTTCTGTCAGTGCAATTTTTGACTTTTCGTTTGGAAAATATTTGTTAGTTAAGCTACACTTATATTGCTTTCAGCGTAACTTATATTTATATTCATAGTCATTGTTATGAATTTATAAATAAGATTTATTAGTGATTCCAAGTAATATTACTGATTGATCTACTTATGTATGTGATGGTTAGGCTAGATTTAGTGAGGTGTTTAAAGTGGGATTTCAAAACAGTATACTTTGTATACCAAACGGACCCTACCTCCAGTATGATCTTACCTGGTTGCTCCTTACTTGATAGATCTTGATGTAGACATTAGGATTGTTGAGGAATCTAAACTATCATTAGTCACCAGAAAATTTAACTAAGACTTAGTAATATGAACCTAAGTCGCATTAAAAGAAAAGCTAAATGTTAAGGCGAAGCGCTGCCAAAATTTTCCGTCATCCACTTTAACAAATGAGTGCATGGTTACTTTCATCTTACACAGTGATGATGAGTGATTTGAGGAGTTTTAGGCCATAATATAATAAATTGTTGTATAGTCTGTTAAGACAAGTTTATGTTTATGTATTTGAATCGATGACGACATCCCAAACTTTTATATAACAATGAAATGTATTTCTTTAGAAATACTTCAATAATTATGTTTTAGGAACAAATTCGACAATTTAATGAACACTCTCACTTAAATAAGCATAAAATAAGTTTTAAATTGGCTGTGAAAATGGGAATGTCACAGTTGGTATCAGAGCATTAGTTTAAGCGAACTAGAATATAATGATTTTTAGACTTAAACTTACACTGCTAAGCGAATCGTGAGATGTATGTCTATTATACTTTAGGTAATATACCTGAATTGACAATAACACTAGCTTACTTTAGGATAAGATGTCTAATTTGTTGTTATGTGCTAAATGATTTATATTATAGCATGCCTTAGGTTTTCCTACCTAAATTGCTATTACTTGACTATATATAAGGTCTATTGCTGACCTTGATTTGAAAACTTTATGTGTTCATGATTCTAAATGTATAACTAATGTATTAGAACTTGCATGTAACTTTTCAGAGCGATAAGAAGTATTATGCGTCAAACATAAATAAAACCTCCCCTATCATAATAAACTCGTGTCTCGGACACTGAACACCTGCTTTGGTGTGCAGATCATCATGGTGATAACACGTAGCATATTGGAGAACGGTAATGGAACTCAGCAGCATGAGCCTCTTATAGTGGAGCATGCACTGGTCATTTCCCTTACACCTGAACCTATTACGATGGCAGGAGTGCAGACAATGATGCAAGCCATGCAATACCGGAAAATAGAGAAGAGTAGACGAATCCTACGGGAAAATAGAGATGAACCTACTGTACCAGTTGTGCAACCTGAACTGAATGAGGAACAGTCAGAAGAAGGAAACTATAGCAAAACCATTAGTCAAGCAGAACCACAAGTAGTCAGGAGAAACAACCTGGATGGAGGAAATGCAAGTATAAAGACTTTATGAAATCCAAACCACCAAGTCTTTCTAGAAGTCCAACACCAGTGGAAGTCATAGACTGGATATCTGAAATAGAGATGGTATTCAAGAGTTGTGACTGCAGCGAGAGGCAGAAAACAATCTTCGCTTCAAGAAAATTGAAGACCGGTGCACTGAGTTGGTGGAAATTGTTGGCTGGTTCCATGCTCAAGGGAGAAACAGGAAAGATGTCATGGGAGAACTTCATTGAGCAACTGAAGAGTAAGTATTGTTCTGAGCAAGACCTTGTGGGGATCAACAATGAATTCCAGAATCTGAAGAAGGGAAAGATGAGGGTCAACGTATTTGTTGCAAGTTTTACTAAGAAAATGAAGTTACTTCCTTACTTGGTTCCTACTTAACTCTCCAAGATAAACAAGTTTGCTAGTAGACTATCAACGGATTCCAGGCCAATGGTAAAGCTAGCAACTACTCTGAAGGCAGTCATCTGGGCAGCTAAGAATGTTAAGACCCAGATAAGAGAAAAGGGTATGGAGAGAGTTGAGCCAGGAGAAAATAAGAAATTTGAAGGATATTCAAGATCCAACATGAAGAGCAAATTTTCGAAGACTGACACCAATGACAAGAAGTTTGGGGGTAACAAGGAAGTGAAATGGTGTGAGAAGTGCAAAAAAGAAGCACTTTGGGAAATGTAGTGAAGAAGTGACATGTTACTTTGAAGATCCAACTGAAGGGTACTCCGACGAAGTCCTCCATCGGAAAAGGGTACTCTGGTGAAGTCGGCATCCATGAAGTTAAGGTTTGAACTTTGAACTGCAGATGTTGTAGTAGTCGTGGTAGTTTAAGTTTTAGGTAGGGTGGGTATTGATCAACATGAAATGGGTGATGGTGTTAGGAGGATGATGTCCAAGAGAGAGAGAATGAAAGAGAGGGTAGGGGTGATGACTTCGGTAGGGTGGGGTGGATTTTTTTTGGTTTTTTAATTAAAATAATAATTAAAAAAATTAATTTATGGGCATATTCGTCATTTCAAATTGTGTATGTAGCAAACCCACAAAAAATAACAACCATGGACCAAAACCACATAAAAAAATCTAAAATTAGATCATTGGAACAAATACAAAAAAATTAAACTAAAACCACATATTTTCTACAATCACGAAAATCGTTTTTGCAATTTTGTCTATATGTTATTGTAAAAATAAGCAAATTACACATTATTATATATATTAATTTCAATTGCAAAAAGAAGAGTACTTTTGATTTGTGCCACATGATTTTAGAATATTACAACCTTTGGTCATTCTATGTGTAATATTCATTTTGGCCACAACAATTTTATATGTTAACAAGTTTGGTCCTTGTGTGGAATAAATTACGAAAATTGTCCTTATAATTTACAGGAAATGTCCTTATGCAAAAAAAAATCACAGAAACGGTCCATATATTTAATATTATCGTATTTTGGCAGGTTTGGTCTATGTATAGAAAATAAATTATAAAAATTGTCCCCATGCTTTGCAGAAAATGTCCTTGTGCATACTTTTTTTTTTACAGAAATGGTTCATATGTTTAAAAAATTACAAAAATAATTCATATCAAATAGAAAATTTATAGATTACGCCCCCGCAAAACATGGGTAACATTTACTCTAGTTCAAGCTAAAATTTAACTAAGGGGTAGTTTGATAGTTTGATAGTTGTTGATTGGTTTAATGTTGATTGAGTTAGAACTTCTAACTGAGTCCACATCTGACTGAAACTATGTTGTTTGATTATGTTTCTGACTTGTTGTGTTGAATAATAAAATTATTATTTTACCCTTATGTTATATATTGTTGTGTTGGATATAATATATTTGTTTGAAAAACTATATGAATAAAGTTGCTAAATAATTATAAAAAAATACAGAATGTCATACAAAATCCAAATTAAACATAATCATTTCAAACCCAAATAAAAACATACCAAATTCAAAAAGAATGTCACACATTCTTGCTTGAGGTTTTTAACATTCGCCTCGAAGCCACTACCAATCATATAAACTAACACCATTTTAACCCTTCTAATCTGACTTCAAACTAATACAAGCATCTACTTGATCAAACCATGGGTTTATTATAGAATCGTGAACTCAAAATCAAAAGGAATTTCACATACAACCAAAACTAAATTCATGTCAAATTTAGCGAAATTAACAAAATCATATCATTACCATGTTGTGAAGACCTTAATTGATTGATCTAGAGCGAAGGCAACAAGTGCAGAAATTAGAGCATAATTCGTGAAGACACAATTTTGTAAGACCTTCGATCTTTGTATGAACGTAGGTAGTTAGGTTTATATCAAAAATCGGTGATGGAGGTGGAAGGCGCAAATTTGAAAGATCTTCGATCTAGCGTATTTAATTTTGAAGTATTACCAATGAAAGAGGGTCGGAGGCGGCGTTGGGTGGACGTGGGAGGAGTCATCATGAAAGCCCTTGGTAGAGGTGGGAGGAAGCGTCTGGAATAGATAAAAGGTAGGAAGCAATGTCGATCTGGCGCCAAAGGGCAAAAGGGTCATCTTGACCGAGACACTTTTTTCCCTTGGGTCAAATCGGAGGATTCCGGAGGCTTGTTGACAGAATTAGAGGCTATATTGATGGCATCAAACACAAAGACTCAGATCGGGATCATAAAAAACAAACTTCAAACTGGGTTTAGGAGGCAATCAAACAGCCCCTAAGCCAATTGGATTTTATCAACTTCCACCTTTAATGTAAGCCCAATCTAACCCACTTCTCGTTACTATTGGTTTTCTCAAAGTTTATGTTTCATTTAAAAGATTCTACAAAATATAATTATATTGGATCAAGTTTAGTTGTGAGATTTTCAATTTATAACACAACTTATTAATATATAACATGCAAATCACTTAAATACAAAACCATTACGGATTATAACAAAAATAAAAAAGTTTTTTGTGTAATCCCAAATAAAATGGTTAAGCTTCTATAAACATCTTTTAGTAATAAAATTATGTTAGAGAGAAAAAGGGCAAACATCATCTTCTATCTACCTACCAAATCCAATCAAATCAAATCAAATTAGTGCACAACTAACATTGGAAACATAAATCACAATCTCCCAACTAACTAGAACAAACATGAAGTATTACAAGTCTTGAGAGTTTAGAGATTCTTATGACACTTGAAAAAAAAATTAACAAAGTAATACCTCACCATCCCATTAGTGCTCTTCTAACCTTGTCAACAATTTGATTCTTAACCACCGTTTTGTATTTGCTTTTCTCCTCTAAAAGGAACCTATACACTTCCCATACACCATTCTCTCTCGTTGAATGCCGCCTTCCAATCTCAGCCTACAAAACATACACAACCATCACTCATTATGCAACAAAACCATGTATATTTACACTTTTACCCCCCGCCCCAGAAATAACATATAGTACTCTTACCGAGAACACGCATATCCCAAGAACCTTCAGCGCAAGAGTAGCATCATAAAACACTTGTGGCCTACCCCTACCGGATAACTCCACCGGATTAGCAACCACAAGTTCCATATCGGGCCCACGATTGGTTATAATCACACGCAACGGGTGTAGCATTTGCAATTTCAAACGTGAAATGATTTCATCTTGCATCTCAACATTCAAAATCTTTATTCCATCTCTTTGTCTGATAAAAAGATCCAAATCACGTTGCCCCTTGTTAACAGGCGAAAATCTCCCATAAGCTATCTGTCAAAAACTCAAAAACCACACAGCAACATTTATCATTTATCAAACACAAAAGAAACACATTAAACAAAATGTAACATGTATGATGTATGTATGTATGTATGAATATAAATTGTAACCTGTATATCAAAATCTTTTAACACTCGCATGATGTCATAGAGAAAACCTTTGTGATCAACACAGTTGATTTGAAGGAGGGAATGAGCTGGACTTAAGGAGTTATCGATTATGACATTGGCTCGTTTTAACTTCTTTACATCTGTACTCAGAGCTTGTGAACGTTCTTCTGTTTCTGATAATTCTGACCGGAATAATTCTCGGGCAGCTTCTTCTGAAAGAGAAGAGATAGATGGGATGCTGTCATTTTTATAACCTGCTGACCGGATATCCACATTTGTACATGATTCGCCTAACACATCATGCAATCTATCACATGCATCATCTCTCCTCTTTTTCGTGTGTAATAGCTCCCTGAAGTAATATTGCAGCAAAAAAAAGGTATACATTCAAGAAATTTAAACAAATCTTTAACTACTCTTCTTGCAAAATAGAAGGGTAAAATGGTCATTTTACTCACATCCAGATAGAGTCCAAAGTCCAAACAAGAAACAATATTTATGTATACAACACTCATCATTTATCCATTTTTTATGTATACAGCACTTAGGGGAAAGAAAGAGGCAGGAAGAATTCAAAAAAGCCCCAATTTTTATAATACCCAAATTGAAATAAATGTAGACAGAGTGCAAAGGAGTATTAAGAAACAAACCCTCACAAGTTATCGGTAATAAAGAATAGGTCCATGACACGTCCATCTGGTGTTGTTGTCACTTTAACTCTCTGGATCATAAGCTCAAGCTCAAAAAGCACTCGAGTCACATCTAAATGAAAAATAAATAACAACACATCAGATTGTGAAATGAATATAATACAAAAGTAAACTACACGATGAAAAAAGTACCATTTAATAATCCCTTTCGATCAGTGCTGCAGAATGTCAATAGGTAGACTGGAGAAGGTGATGGTTTTGGGGGTGTTTCATTTAAGTAAGCTGATACAGAAAATGTTGGACAGATAGAAAGGAGACGCTCTTTTAGGGTTGACCATCTTACAGTTGGTGAAGTCGGATGAGGGAACACCCATAATACTATGTAGCACCATATTCCATCGGTTGTAAAATCTAGACAAAATACACAGATTTCATAATCAAACAGGAAAAGAATGGATTCTCCAACTCAAAAGAACCTCTAGGGTTACGAAATAACATAATGTGGCATCGCATGGTATTAACTCAAGAAAAAACACAAGAACATGAAAAACGATAGATTCAGCAATACCCGAATCCTATAGAACATAAACAGATTGATTGAATGAGAAATATTTGAACCCTAAAGAACATACACATTGGATTTTGGGGGATGATATATATGAGAAATCGTATAAGATAAATTAAAGAATAGTACTAACCTCCTTTAACGATATATAACCCGAAATCAAGAATAATCCAACAGATATCGCAACCGAGGCCAGTTTTATCGGGGCAATTGACCGTAATTACAAATGGGTCCCCTTGTTTCTTCCCTTTCTGAATCACCACCGCATCATCACTCGGCATAGCCATGTCGGGGACGGCACCGGCAGCCTGAAACGACCAGCATCCGGAATCCCCTCGGCCGTTGGCCGGAGTTACGTCGCGTTGAGTGAAATACTTCGCCAGCTTGAATGAAATTCAAAACCCAACTCAATCCGAAAAGGGTTTTTGTTATGGAACTCGTAGAGGAATCTGGTAAATATACAAAGCTAATGCCATGTAATATGTATGTATGTAAGAATCTACACGTGCCCCAGCAAACTGATATATTATTTGATGATGTTTGGACCCACACGGAGAGAAAACATAGATCTACCGTTGATGGAAGAACAAAGTACAAATCACTCAATGCCACTTTTAATATTAAAATTGGTATGAATTGTAAACAATATCCTATCAATAATTACAAACCACTCAAAAAAGACAACAACATTAGAACAAACTTGAAAGATAATGAATATTCAGAACATCCTCAGATTTGTCACATATTGTGAAAATTAATTGTATGTAATAATTCAAAGCTTATAGATTCAGATGATGAAACTCAGACGATTATAGAAAATAGAGGGATTTCATAACATAAATTCAAACCCCGAGATGGGGTATGTCAACGATATTGAAACAGGATACAACGAAGGGGAAATTAGATACGATCTACAGTGAATACACACTACCACACAACCAAAACCCTAGACCTAACCACCAAACCCATATAGGGTACGGCCCTGTCGTTTCAAAGCATAGACGACATCCATTGCAGTAACAGTTTTGCGGCGAGCGTGCTCGGTGTAGGTTACAGCATCTCTGATGACATTCTCAAGAAAGATCTTGAGAACACCACGAGTCTCTTCATAGATCAAGCCACTGATACGCTTGACACCTCCTCGACGAGCCAATCTTCGGATGGCGGGTTTGGTGATTCCCTGGATGTTATCACGGAGAACCTTCCTGTGTCGCTTTGCTCCTCCCTTTCCGAGTCCCTTGCCTCCCTTTCCACGTCCCGACATTGTTGAAACAAGCTCAAGGTTAGATGCTGAATTTGAGTTGTGATTGAGTGAGGAGTGAGATGACTTTGTTGATGAATGATGGGGGAGTTTATAGATGTGGGTTTTGAAGAAGGGCGGGATTTGAAAGTTTTGAGTTAGTGGCGATGGAGCGAGTGGTGGCGGATGAAATGTTGTAAGATAATTGGAGCCGTTTGATTGTGAATCAAATGGACGGTGATGCATATTGCGGATCCCGATCCGTGTGATGTGCTTTCTGCCTGAGTGTGACCATTGGCGCATGTTAATTTTCGAAATTTAAATTTAGTTATCTTTATTTAATAGTGAGTTAAGTTAACCTCGTTTGAAAGAAATTATATTTTTACCCTTCTTGTTTCGGTTTTATGCAAAAAATTCTCATTATTTTGAAATAAAAATTTATAAAGTCCTTAAAGTTTTTTTTAATAGAAAATTCTTGATTATTTAACATTTTGCTCAAATTAACGAAAAAATCATTTTTTTATATTTGAACAGTAAATAACAAATTATGTGATTTTCTCAAAAATAATTAGACTTTTATGTTAAAAAAAAAAACTTTTAAGACTTTATTAAAAAAATTCCTAAAATATTAAGATTTTTCCCCATAAAACCCGTTGTTATTTTACAAACTATATTATCCAAAATAACTTTTAACATATGTGAGATAGATTTGTAGACAATTGAAAATAAATTAACAGTAAACAAAATAACATTTGTCGTGGTTACAAGTTAAATTCATCAAGTTAGTTAATTTGTTTACTCCTATGTTTGAACATGAGACAACCAATTTAAAAAGCTTTCATCTCTATCAAATGGACTAATCCCACATTAGCAACAGTAAGTTAGTTTATATTTAAATAAAAAAATAATTGTTTATTTAAACATGCATTATTCCTTGTACATACCACATATTTTTTTTTCATAATGTGTGTGACGTGTTTATGTGTTGGTGTATTGTTGCTTTGTTTAACATTCTTTTTTTCTTCTACAAGTTTCTACGATTTTTTAGTTTTTAATCTAATTATAAAAATCTTTTTTAAATATATTTATATATTTATCTTTTCTAAATAATTGATTTTTATATAATTTTATATGATCTGAAAACTTCCAAGTATAACAAATAAAAATAACAGTTATTAACTTCAACTTCTAGATATCATCTAGTTTTTCCAAACACGCCCTTAGTGCCCCGGTTTTTACAAACTTACACCTTTTTTTCTTGGCCTCTTTCATTATAAGCATTGCAGTAAGACTTTAAAACCTATAGGTATTTTGGCCACAAACCGACTCATTTTCACAGATTCATATGGCACAATGTGTGTTACAACACATGACTTTTTCATTTCATTAGCACCACTCATTTTGCACAATGTGTGCTACACATTCCATTTGGATGCTTATGAAGTAAAAAAAAACCCTCAAGTTGTGTTACTCGCATCATACAAAATATTTTTGTTTAATAAAATCGTTTTTACATTCATTTGTTATGTTTCATGGTCATGGAATGTTGTTATGGCAATGAGCATTTGGATAGACTTTGATGTAGGCAATGATAAATCTATTGTGGGCTTCTCGGAAATGGGCCCATGTTGGACCTTAGTAGTCTTGGGCCTTGTTGGGCCATCAAAAATCTATTGTTGGGTTGTTGATATTTTTATTGGATTCTTTTGGTTGAAGGACCATGAAGGGATTTAGGCCCAATTTGGAAAAATGGGCCATATTTGGGTTTTGGGTGATTATTTTGGAAATTGGGCTTTTTGGACAGTTGGGTTGGGCCTTGGCCTTGGGCCAAGTTAGGGAAAGGGTAAAAAAGGTCTTTTACCCTATTTTGGACTCTTAGTGTGATTCGAGATTCATTTATTAATTGGATGTTATTTTGTGATTATAGCGTGAGGATTTTAGCGGGCTAGAAGTTAGAGTTTTATCTGTGAGATTCAGCAGTCTAAGGTGAGTTTCCTCACTGTGTTTAGCAGGTTGAAGGCACCAATGCCGACCCATGATTATTATGATAGGATGTTAGATGTATGCGTGACTATTGCATGTGTTATGTGCTGGTATACCGAGTGAGGCTCGATGTCGGGCGAGGCCCGATGACTGTATTGTATGCTATTGGTTTGTGATTATTGCATGTGTGTAACACCCGTGTTTCTAGGCTAGGCATTAATATTGACATAATGGTTTAGGTTAGCCTTTGTAACTCATTTACAAGAAATGAAAAAGAATTATGTCAATTTTATGTGTTTTATGCTTAATTTTAGGGTTTAATTAATTAACAATAAAAATGAGCGTCAAAATTAAATATTAGATAAAGCCGATATCTATTAAGAAACTTGTAGTGGGCGTGACAAGGATTACGGATATATAAAGAATGCCAAAATCCGAGTTATAACGAAGAAGTTATGACTTGCCGAAGTTTCGCGACAAAACCGGCACGGGGCCGAATGTCGTAAAAAGTGAGTTTTTAATAAACTACTTTTTAGCCTTAGTAATCTAAACGAAACTCGTAGTATTCGTTAAACCGAGAAGTTCGATAAAAAGAACGCCAAAATCTGACTTCGTATGAGGAAGTTACGATTTTTCGAAGTTTCAGCTTAACAGTAGACAACTAAAAACTCGAATTTTAGATCGAGTGATTTTTAGCCGACACAGCCTAAACGAGAATCGAAGGTCTCGTCATTTGTAGTACAACGGTAAAAAGTCTGACGAAAACGGACGTCGGATGAAGAAGTTATGAATTTTTAACGGATTTCCTGTCCCGGTCTGTTAAAAATAATAATATAAAAATTAAAGTCAAAATTAGCTGACGAAGTCTAAACGAAAGTTGTAGAGCGTAATTTTACCTACGCGTGCATATAAAGAACGTCAAAAACGGAGCTCGTATGTGAAAGTTATGGATTTTAGAAGTTTTGGCGCGAAAACCGAGAAATTTCGCATAGGTGGCGTCGGCCACGTCACCCTTCGCATGCAGCCTCCACGTGGCATCTTCTGATTGGACCGCAGCCTCGTGTGGCAACCGCTGATTGGTCCGAAATCGTCACCCTTCTTCCCCATTGGACTGAAGTCCGGTCCACTTAGAAGTCTCCACCTGTCCGAGCTTCGCACGTGGCCTTCGCAGGAGCTGCCCCGTGTCCGACCTTGCTGAGTCATCTGACGCGTGTGCCTCGGTGGCGAGCCCTCGCATGCGAGACGTGTCCGACGCATGTCTTCCTCCGGTCCGAGCCACGTGCCCTCGCCTCCTGATGCCACCTGCCTCGCTGACTCGCCCTTATGATCAACCGACTTCGGACCTCGCAGCCTATAAAGAGTAGGCATGCGAGCCTTCCCGGGTAATTTTGGAAAATTGCCCATTTTTACCCCTTTTTCAATATTTTATCCATTTTCGCTTCCCCCGATTCCCCGAGATCATTTCCAATGCCCGGAACACGTCCCGGAGTGCCCGAGAAGCCCGGGAAATTTATTTTTTCGGTTTCGAAGCCCGACCCTCGCAGAGCCCGGTTTCTCAATAAAACTCCCGGTTTTATTAGAAACGATCATTCTAGGCAACGAAGTGTTGCCCGGTTATCGTTAAATCAGGTGAGTGTATAGTCATTTTCACCTTACACATAGATATGAAGTATTTACCTTAAAATACGTGCTATGTGTAAATATATTAAATGTTTATTTGAGGTGACTGTTGAATTGATGTTTTATACAAGTTTTAAACTGTATATATATTTTTATCTACAAATATGTTGGGTAAAACATGGGTAGATGAATTAGATGATATGTGATGAAATAAAAGTGATGAGAGGTATCGATGTTTAAGATGATCTAGTCATCTAGCAGAGTATAGACAACGGCCACAGACTATTTTAGATAGCCCAGTGGAACGTTAGTAGACTTGTAATCGGTACGTATGTTTGAACTATATGTTCATTAGGTATTTTTGAACTATGTGTTCATCCATTAGTTCTTCCTTTTGACACTATTACGTGTCGGGGTACGGGAGTACTTTATCAGTATTTTCCCTATACTTTTATTTGGAAGAGCTTTGGAGTCTTTGTTCTTTTATGAAGTGATCGGACGAGCTTCATGAGTTAGTGATATAGATCATGAGTTAAATAGTGGGTGTGTGATGAAAAGTGAGTTGGATAGATGAGATGATCAGTGATATAGATCATGAGTTGAAAGTGAGTGGTGAAATATGGGAAAAGCTTTTACCCAGAT